TACTTTACTTTAACTTTTTTTTTTCTTAGAGCCTAGAACAGTGCTGCGTGTCAACCTTTTTACAACCAGCGCCCATTTTGCCATTTTTAAGAGGCTAAAGTGTTCGTACAGCCCACCTACCTGTATTTCCAAGCAAGATATTAAAAGTACCTGTCACTAGCCGGGTCCCACAACCCTACCCCCCGCCCCCCTCCTCCACCCTCATCCCGAAATTTTAAAAAACTCCACATAAAGCTTTTCAGGAAAATAAAAATCACATTTTTCAAGTTTCATCGTTTTATAACAATTCTGTTCTAGTCAGGATAAAGACTTACTGATCGCCCCTGGTACTTTAATACTCAGGGCAAAGATTTATTGACCGCCCCTGGTACATGTACCTACACAGTCAGGGTAGAGACTTATTATACTGACCACCCTTGATACCTTCACAGTCAGGGTAAAGACTTACTGATCGCCACTGGTACATGTACCTACACAGTAAGGCTAAAGATTTATTCAACTTACTGGCCGCCCCTGACACCTTCATAGTCATGGTAAAGACTTATTGACAACCCCCCCCCCCCCCCCAGTACCTACAAAATAAGGCTGAAGACTTATTATACTGACCGACCCTGATACCTTCTCAGACAGGGTAAAGATTTACTGACCGCCCCATGTACCTTCTCGGTAAGGTTAAAGACTTATTACACTGACCGCCCCTGATACCTTCACAGTCAGAATAGAGATTTACTGACCGCCCCTGATACCTTCACAGTCAGGTTAAAGACTCATTGACCGTCCCTGATACCTTAACAGTCAGGGTAAAGATTTACTGACCGCCCCAGGTACCTTCACAGTCAGGGTAAAGACTTATTGACCACCCCAGATATCTTCACAGTCAGGCTAAAGACTTATTATACTGACCACCCTTTATACCTTCACAGTCGGGGTAAAGACTTATTATACTGACCGCCCCAGCCAGGTATCTTCCCAGTCAGGATAAAAACTTACTGACTGCCCCCAGTACCTTTACAGTCGGGGTAAAGATTTACTGACCACCCTTGGTACTTTGACTGTCAGGGTAGATACCGCCCCTCACCCCTGATACCTGCGGGAATCCTGTGATGGTTGAGCCACACATCCTCCGTGCTCACTCTCTCTATGATGGGCACGGCGCTGTGGAGTCTCAGAGCTTCCTTGATGCACTGGCCGGTGAACTGTAGCTTGCCCAGGTCCTCCCTGTATGGGCAGAGACAGTACTTTTGTTCTTCTTTTTGGGGGGCGCGGGGGGGGGGGTAAATGTTTCACGGCGCTCGCAACTGCATACGTCATTTGAGCACGTAGGACACATCAAACATTTTTCAGTTGGTAGGAAATGTTTAATTTTGCCAGGGTGGCGGCCGAAGCTTACTCTTTAATGTGCGCAACTTTCACACAGCACCTCCGAGATTTTTCGCCCTTGTCCGAGAAGGCTAGGTGTAGATCTTTCCAACCAGGCGATCGGGGGTGTGGTTGAAAGACAGCAGTAAGGAGCCAAGGAGTAGCAGTAGAAAGTCTGCATAATGAGTCTGGAGCCCAGAGGAGGGGGGAAAGGGGGTGAGGGGGTGGGAGTAGAAAGTGGAGACGAAAGCAGAAGACAGAACATTGCTAGAGAGCATGAAAGGAGGTGGAAGGAGACCATTTTAGAGAAGAAATTGTTTCGGTCGCTACCCAGATTCGAACACGGGACCTTTGAATGAGAAGCGAACACCTTAACCTCTAGGCCACGAGAGCCCCCCAAAGACAGTACAGGGTTCCGTTATAATACATTATACCTACTGCACCCCCTCACCACCAACAGTCCTCCCTGCACAGGGAGAGACAGTACACGTTCCGTTATTTTACGTTATACCTACTGGACACCACCCCCAAGTCGTCCCTACACGAGGAGAGACAGTACAGGGTTCCGTTGTGCCTACTGCACACCACCTCCCACCCCCACCCCACCCCATCCCGAGTCCTCCCGACGCGGGTAGAGACAGTACAAGGTTTCGTTATAATACCTACTACTATAAGCTCATTTCTATCCTCTAGGACACTATACATGTACATTGACACTTACCAGTGCAGCTCCTTCCTGTCCCCCAAGACAGCTTTGACTTCCCTGTAGACCTGGTCCTGGTAGTCAGGGTGTTGAGAGAGGGAGATCAGGGTCCACATGATGCCACTGGCCGTTGTGTCGTGGCCTGGGGGTTATGGCACGGTACAGTGGAGGAGAGAGAGAGAGAGAGAGAGAGAGAGAGAGAGAGAGAGAGAGAGAGAGAGCATGGTCCAACAAACATGAGCACAAAAGAGATGATGATGTCAACAGAGAAGTCCAAACGGGGCTTACTCTGCTCACCTCTCTAGCCCCAACAGCACAAAGTCTGCTTCGACTAACAAGGAACCCCATAAATAGCAGTTAACAAGGGAGTAACAAAAAAGGAGAGGAAAAATGACGATAGTAAGGATGAGATAAAAGAAAGGCACTGTATGAGCCTGACATTGAAAAATCAGCCCATTTACAATTCTACTATACTATGCATAAGAACACGTTAATATCGCCCCTTTGGGAATGGCCTACAGATAATTAAGTCAGCAACACTGCCCGGGGG